TTTTAACAGGCTTTCGCTCTGTCACCCAGGCTGTTTGAGGCTGGAGTGCAATGGCGGTCTCGGCTCACTGTGATCTCCACCTCCCAGGTTCAAGCAATTCTCCCGCCTCAGCCTCCCGAGTAGCCAGGACTACAGGTGTGTGCCACCACATGTGGCTAATTTTTGTGTTTTTAGTAGAGATGGGGTTTCACTGTGTTGGCCAGGCTGATCTCGAACCCCTGACCTCGTGATCTGTCCTCCCAAAGGACCTCGGCCTCCCAAAGTGCTGGGATTACAGGCGTGAACCACTGTACCCAGCCTCAAAAATTTTAAAAAGGGGCTAGGTGCGGTGGCTCATGCCTGTAATCCCAGCACATTGGGAGACCGAGATGGGTGGATCACTTGAGGTCAGGAGTTTGACACCAGCCTGGCCAAATGGCGAAACCCCATCTCTACTAAAAATGCAAAAATTAGCCAGGTGAGGTGGGGGGCGTCTGTAATTCCAGCTACTCAGGAGGCTAAAGCAGGAGAATTGCTGGAATCCAGGAGGCGGAGGTTGCGGTGAGCCAAGATGGCACCACCGGACTCCAGCCTGGACATGAAGACAGAGTGGACAGTCTCAAAAGGAAAAAAAAGCCTGTATAATAGGAAGATGACCACAGAATGTAACAAATGAGTTCTTCAAAGGAGATTTAGGGTCCAGGAAAGGAATCTATGGACCCTGATAGGATTTGGAGAAGAGGAATATAAGCTTGAATCCAGGAGGCGGAGATTGCAGTGAGCCGAGATGGTACCGCTGAACTCCAGCCTGGGCGACATAGTGAGACTTGGCCACCAAAAAAAAAAAAAAATTTTACACAAAGGGTTCACATGTTGAGCTCCTGGCACAAAGTGTGTTCCAGCGCCCTCCCTCTTCTGACCATGACGTTCCAGTTACAGAGGGCAGTGTTTGAGGGTGGGTATAAACCTTCCCTGGGAATACTGGGGTGACAGAGAATGGAAGGGCCCCCTTTCCCAGATGTCCTGTTTAATTCTCTTGAGAGCTCCGGGAGGTCAGCGCCATGGCCAGTTCACAGATGTGGCTGGGAAGAGGCAAAGCCGCCTGCCCACAGGCGCAGCCAGGCTGATCAGCGCCCACCCCTCTTTGGAGGCACCTTCCCCAGGCCTGCTTGGTTGGGCCCAATGAATGTGCAGATGTGTGGGCACCCGGTGGCTTCAATGTTGGGACACTGATTGCTCCCAGGAGGCCAGGATCCTTTCTGACTCTGCCCTCGCATTGGCGTGACTTGGACTCCACTTCTGAACTTGGAGGGGCCTGGATGAGGTGTCCCCAGGGGATGAAGGGCTGAACATTCCTCCCCCAACCTTTTCTGTGGAAGCAGGAAACCCGATTCAGTGACCCCAAAGCCCCTGCCAATCTGAGGCTCCACATCCTCTCCAGAAGCCACCTCAAAGAGGGAATGGCTGTCGCCTCTGTGCGTGTCGCAGCCCCTCCGGGGCCACGTATCCAGACACCACAGCCTCAACTAAGACTTTGGAGCCCAGCTTCAAAGGGGAGAGCAGAGTCTGGGGCCTGCTTCTGCAGCTGCTGCTGGGTCACCTGCTGGGTGCTGGGCACATCCCAGTCCTTGCCGCTCCTGCCTGTGTCATGAGCCCTTCTCAGGTAGGACTGGTGTGCAGATTAGGGAGACATGATTTTTCTTTTCTTTTTCTTTTTTTTCCTCTGCTAACTGCCATCCTGGTCTGAAGGGAGAGAGGACTGGAAAGTAGGATCCAGAATCCCAGTCTCAATGCCCTGTTATATATAAGGGCAGAAATCAATGCTCAGAGAGGGCCAGGGACTTGCCCAGGGAGACCCAGCAAAGGAATGGGCTTTGAGCCCCGTGGTCACAAAGTCCTATTTGGGACTCAGGCTCTTAGAGGGCAATGGTCCTCAAATGTGAACCCCAAATCCATCTCCTCACGACATGAAAGCTCTGACCTGGGTGACTATGGGCTCCTGACGGATGTCTCTGGGCTCCTGAAGAAGCCTGAGGGAGAATGAGCTCCCCATCTCCATGGAAAACACAGAGGCAGAGCCTGGGTAAAACTGGGAGGGTCAAGGAGATGAGACTCTCTTGGGGGACAAGGCAATGCCAGCCTCCAGCCTGAGACCTTTGGCAGAGGGATAACGGTAGGAACAGCGCT